ACTTCCGGTTTCCTGGTGGCTTATTGGAAATAAGAGTCTCACAGATTTTCCTGCCTGGGCTGGCTTTGAACCATGATCCTCAGATCTCAGCCTCCTGAGTAGCTGGGATGACAGGCGTGAGCCACTAACACCAGACTCCATGAGACTCTTTATCCCTAATTATTCACCAAAATAGCTGCAAATGGACCTGTGGCTCAGATGGTAGGGCACTAGCCTTGAGCAGAAAACAAAAACAAAAGCAAAAACTTAGAGACAGAGCCGAGGCTCCTGAGTTGAAGGCCCAAGATTGGCAACAATAGATACATAGGTAGGTAGGTAGGTAGATAGATAGATAGATAGATAGATAGATAGATAGATAGATAGATAGATAGATAGATAGATAGATAGATAGAGAAATCAGATCCTGGAGTAGATTTGCAGTATGTTCTTCTGTAGACGCTCAACATGGTCCTCAATTGAGCCTGTAGGACTAGGCCAAGGAGGTCAGGACTCTGACTCTGAAGTTGTACAGTTGCAACTCTCTCTAGCCTTCGCTTGCCCCCATGGACGTCTAGAATCTGAACTCTTTCTGATGTCTGGTAGGTTTCAGAAGTGAAATCCATCTGCGTCACCTGCAGACACAGATGGACCGACAGGCCCCATGGCTTGGATTAGCCAGGCCTTTATCTTCATTGTTTCCTTCCCTCCAGGTGAATTCTTTAGTCAAAGCTGTGCCCCTGGGTCTGAGCCGACATCCAGTCTCTGTGCTCTGTGTGTCGGGGATGAGATGGGCCAGCATAAATGTGCAGCTAACAGCAGTGAGAGATATTTCGGCTACACTGGGGCTTTGAGGTAAGTCGAGACCTGAAAGTTCTCAGTACCAGGCCTCGGCCTTCATCTTGAAGAATATTGGGGGTACCGTAGGCCTAAGGGATTTTTATTTAAGGCTGTAAACCTATAAAACATAGATATATAATATATAGAACTCATAAGCCATAAAATATATAATATATAGCATATATTATAATTATTAATTATATATAATATAATACACATATATGTGTGTGTATATACACTTGTATATATGCATGTTTGTGTGTGTATATGTGAGTGTGTGTGCTTGTCTTTGCTTCTTAGCTTGGCGATATTAAATTTTTCACTACTCTGATTGATTTGCACACACACACACATAATTAAACAGACTTTGTTTCTGGTACTAGGGCTTGAGCTCAGAGCCTGGGTGCTGTCCCTTAGCTTTTTTTTTTTTTACTAAAGGCTGATATTCTACCACTTGAGGCACAGCTCCACTTCCAATTTTTGTTGTTGTTGGTGGTGGTTTTTTGGCCAGTCCTGGGGCTTGAACTCAGGTTGTGGGCACTGTCCCTGAGATTTTGTTGTTGTTGCTGTTCAAGTCTAGCTCTCTACCACTTGAGCCACAGCGCCACCTGCAGCTTTTTCTGTGTATGTGGTGCTGAGGAATGGAACCCAGGGCTTCATGCATGCTAGGCAAGCACTCTACCACGAAGCCACCTTCCCAGCCCCTAATCTTATTATTGTTCAAGCTTTGAATTCCTGGAAAGACTTTCATCATTTCTGGGCTCACTCACACGTTACAGTTTCTGAAATGAATCTAACAAACTTTCCTTTTTTTAAGCAGAAGTCTAATAGATTCTCTTTGTCTTGTGATTTTTATTTTCCTTTTTTTTTTTTTGTGGATATATTTTAGGTGCCTGGTGGAGAAGTCAGGAGACGTTGCATTTGTGAAAGATTCCACCATCTTCCAGAATGCCGAGGGTAGGGGAACTGTCAAGCTTTTTCCTCTTTTTCTTCCCAGCAGACCCTCATATTCAAAAGTCACAATAGGTCAGACTTTCCCATAAAATCAGATCCTTGGAATGAAAATAATTCAAAAAATCTTCACCTCCCCAGGCAACCCCTGTAGATGCCACCATAAAAATTTCACACTTGAGCTCGCTGTCAGCTGATTATACAGTGGAAAATTCCTTCCTGGAGTTGTATACGAAACAGAATGATTTTTACATTTAGATTAGGGTCCTGGCTAGCTCAGTTAATTATGTGCATGCAAGAATTCTTAAAATCAGAAGAAGAAAAAGGAG